TGGATCTGTTACTGGTGAGCAGCTGGGGTTAAACCAGAACTGTGGATCCACCAAAAAGTCACTTCCAGTGATCACAAAATGGCTTTAAAGACCAGCAGAGCTGCAATCTAACCCTTAAACCAAACTGAAATTGAGCTTTTGGGTTCCACGAAGACAATCCCAAAAAATCCCAAAAAACACTTTTGGAAGACAATCCCAAAAAATCAAGCTGAGTGATTTTCCCACAGAAACGACAGGGGATTGAAGAGCTTGGGAGGAATTTGGGACATCCTGAGGATGGGATGGAGCTGTGGTGAATCTCCACGTGGCAGAGCTGCAATTTAACCTTTTAACGCAAACTAAAACTGAGCTTTTGTGCTCCAGGAAGACACTCCCAAAAAATCCCAAAAAACACTTTTGGAAGACAGTCCCAAAAAATCGAGCTGGGTGACTTTCCCACAGAAACGTGAGATTGAAGCACCCGGGGGGAATTTGGGACGGAGCTGTGGAGAATCTCCACGTGGCAGAGCTGCAATTTCAGCCCATCAATACAAACTAAAACCGAACTTTTGAGCTCAACGAGTTTAGTTTTTAGCAAACTAAAACCAAGCTTTTGGGTTCCACTTCCAAAAACGTCGAGCTGGGTGACTTTCCCACAGAAATGAGGTGAGATTGAAGCATCTGGGAGGAATTTGGGATGGGATGGAGCTGTGGAGGATCTCCACGTGGCAGAGCTGCAATTCAACCTTTTTACACAAACTAAAACCGAGCTTTTGAGCTCCATGAAGACAATCCCAAAAAATCCCAAAAAACACTTTTGGAAGACATTCCCAAAAAATCCCTGAGCTGGGCGACTTTCCCACAGAAATGAGGTGAGATTGAAGCACCCAGGGGGAATTTGGGATGGGATGGAGCTGTGGAGGATCTCCACATGTCAGAGATGCAATTCAACCTTTTAACACAAACTAAAATTGAGCTTTTGGGTTCCACGAAGACAATCCCAAAAAATGGAGCTGGGTGACTTTCCCACAGAAATGTGGGATTGAAGCACCTGGAGGGAATTTGGGACCTCCCAAGGGTGGAACTGGAGCAGGAGCTGTGGAGGATCTCCACGTGGCAGAGCTGCAATCCAACCCTTTAAACCAAACTAAAATCGAGCTTTTGAACTCCATGAAGACAATCCCAAAAAATCCCAAAAAATCCAAAAAACACTTTTGGAAGACAGTCCCAAAAAATCGAGCTGGGTGACTTTCCCACAGAAATGAGATGAGATTGAAGCACCTGGGAGGAATTTGGNCCAAAAAACACTTTTGGAAGACAGTCCCAAAAAATCGAGCTGGGTGACTTTCCCACAGAAATGAGATGAGATTGAAGCACCTGGGAGGAATTTGGGACATCCCGAGGATGGAACGGAGCGGGAGCTGTGGAGGATCTCCACGTGGCAGAGCTGCAATTTAACCTTTTAACGCAAACTAAAATTGTGCTTTTGAGCTCCATGAAGACAATCCCAAAAAATCCCAAAGCACACTTTTGGAAGACAATCCAAAAAAGTCGAGCTGGGTGACTTTCCCACAGAAATGTGGGATTGAAGCACCCACGGGGAATTTGGGACATTCTGAGGATGGGATGGAGCTGTGGAGGATCGCCACCTGGCAGAGCTGCAATTTAACCTTTTAATGCAAACTAAAACCAAACTTTTGAGCTCCATGAAGACAATCCCAAAAAATCCCTGAACTGGGCGACTCATGGTCAGCCCCTGGTTGGCACAGGTGGCACCAGAGGTGGCAGTGCCACCAGGTGAGAGCTCACCTGAGCAAACGCGTCTGCTGCCGCTTGCGGATGGACGGGTTGGACTCGAAGACGTGCGGTCGCTTCCGTTTCTTCCCCGTCGCAACGGCAGCGGCTGCTGCCATCCCCACGGGGCCTGAAAATGGAACCACAGAGGGGTATTGAGCACCAGGAGATCAGGAGATGCTCAGGATTGGTGTCATTGTGTCCCCCAGAGTGGGCCATGGGTGTCCCTGGCAGAGCCAAGGGACATAAATTCCTCCCTGAGCTCTGCTCTCCAGAACTGGGGGTCAGGGAAAGGCTCCATTCCCCAAATTGGCAAATCCCACCAAATTAGGTATTTCAGCCTAAAATTTTCTTTACAATCACAGAATTCTGTGTTTGGTCTTCCAAACTCGTGTTTGAGTAAGTGACTGAGCTGAGAACCTGGTGGCTGGGAAAAGGAAAATGGGTACAGCAGAACAAATCCTGCGTGGACACCTCAACCTCAACATCGAGGATTTTCTGAGGGATTCAGGACCTGCTCTGATGGGAAAAAAGGGAAAATCCAGAGCAACTTCAGCATCAGGAGTTTGAGGAGTTTTTAGGGGATTTGGGACCTGCCCTGATAGGAAAGAAATGGAAAATCCAGAGCAACTACAGCATCAGGAGTTTGAGCCTTTTCTGAGTGATTCAGGACCTGCTCTGATGGAAAAGAAATGGAAAATCCAGAACACCTACGGAGTTTGAGGCTTCTTTAGGGATTTGGGACCTGCTCTGATGGGAAAAAAAAGGAAAATCTAGAGCAACTACAGCATCAGGAGTTGGAGGATTTTTTTAGGGATTTGGGACCTGCTCTGATGGGAAAGAAATGGAAAATCCAGAGCAACTACGGAGTCTGAGGATTTTCTGAGGGATTCAGGACCTGCTCTAATAGGACAAAACCAGAAAATCCAGAGCAACTACAGCATCAGGAGTTTGAGGATTTTCTGAGGGATTCAGGAC